TAGTAAATACCAGCACAAATATGAGCAGTAGTAGTAGTAGTCTTAGTATCCCTCAAATATCTTAAATAACTACTTATATTCATTTAACTGAGTGCGATTCTAGTGATTTTATTGGTCTAATAGTTAGTACTGTGTCGTGTGAAATGGTAAACACTGCGTTATTATTATTATTATTATTATTATTATTATTATTAGTCCCTTGGGTTCCTAATGGAACATAAAGCTTCACTAGCACGTCTCCAGTGAACTCTGTTCTCTGAGATCTTTTGAACCTGGTTCCACGACAGCCCACTAGCTCTCATTTCCTCTTCGCACGATCTCCTCCATGTCACCCTCGCCTCGGACGCCCAACTCGTCGCTTCCCATGGGGATTCCACTCGAGCAACTGGCCTGACGTGTGATGTCCCCAGTCGGCCTTCTCAGTGTATGCCCAATCCATCTCCATTTCTTCCTGCATCCTTTTGAGTTGAATCTTGCTTTCATGATCCTATAGGAGGAGATTGGTTCCCACTGCATGAGAGCCTTCGATGCTCTTGAGGACATCATGATAGCCACTCCATAACTCAGTGTGCTTGTGGTTGTCGTCTGGGTGACAGTATTGGAGTAGATTATTGATTCTCCAGTTGACAGTTTGGAGAGTCCACTCCCATTCCATCTGCTTTCGCAAATTCCAAGCACTTCAATGTGATACCTTCTCATCTCTTTTGCAATCTGGGCTGCCTTACTGGGTTCAAACATCGTACGGACATTCCATGTCCCCACGTTTACTTTCGCTTTCATCGAGAGAAGACACATCGGCTGATTGGCTTCCCGAAGGCTTTCACCAACTGGCGTCATTTCGCCTCTCCGATTTCAGCGAGGAATAATTTTGTTATTATTTTTTATATTTCGTTTGTGCTTTGAAGTTTGTTTAGCGGTTAGATTTGTTTTCCGGGGTAGGGTTGCTAGCCCTATGTCCAACCTTCCCTCTTTACCCGGGCTTAGGACCGGCTAGTAACTAGTGAACTAGTTAACCAGGCGAGTACCATTAATACACCACTAGTCAAGCTTTCTGAGCTGATGAATCCTTCATAGGACGAAATACGCATGTTTGATCCTAACGTTGATCACTTCTTTATATTTCCTAGAACTTCGGTTGATTTCAGTCAATTTTTACATGAATAGAAATTGATTCGATGTAAAATTTGACAGAGTGAAGTTAATTTAGCACTGAACGATTTCCATGAGTAAATGTATTGTTCAATACACTTGTGAATGAGTTTATGTTCAATGTTTTCAGTTTTTTTTTCTAAAATCACTGTTCAATCATTTAGATCAGTTGAAATAATAAAATAAGGATAAAATAGCTTCCTTATCGCACAAGTAAGTTTGTTATTACTATTTATTGACATACTTGTTATTCTCCATTGTTTTGTTGGATCGAATTATTCGACCTCTATTGGCATATGGGCTCCTATGCAGATGCCTCGATATTGCTTGAATGTTAATTATGATAACGTGTGTCCTGGATTCTTCTGCTATCCATAACCAACCAAATCATCACAATTAACATTCAGGCAATATCGAGGCACCTGCATAGGAGCCCATATGCCAATAGAGGTTGAACAATTCGATCCAACAAAACAATGGAGAATAACAAATATGTCAATAAATAGTAATAACTATTACCCGTTGTATAAGAAGTGGCTATCATTCCTCCGTCGTATAGTGGAAAGCGCTATGGCGTTTGCAGTGGTGGGTACGAAGTCGGAGTCTCAGTGGAGGCAACATCACTGGGATGCAGTTACACCTAGCTGACGAGTACCAAATAGGACGAGACGCGCGTCCTGGATTCCTCTGCTAGCTGCGACCAGCCAAATTATCATAACCAACATTCAGAAGTTTGTTCTTGTTAAAAATCGCAAAGTTACTTTTACTTACAGTCAAGCTTTTTCTCCTTAAATCTGTTCATTGCTTCACCTTACCACTTTGTTATGTTTCCAAACTAAATTTCTGTACCTTGGTGACTGTACATTTGTTATTTATATTTCTGATTTCAAAGGATGGTTGAAAGTGTGGTTTTAAATGTCTTGCACATTGGCGTAGGTTGTTGTAGTTCGTAGTCCAATCACTCTATTCACAGATTAAAACTCTGCACTAAAACATAATTTAGAAGGCTAAATGGCATTGTAAATGTAAACAAATCACTTTCACGCAGCCCCTCTCTCTCTCCGATAAACGTTCACATTAAGGTGAAGTTCTATCTTTATCCAGGGATTGATATCAGTTATGCAATAGCCAGTCTACCAATGAAGAACACTTCAATGTTGGCAGAGAATGACAATGAAGTAATATCGTAGGTATCCTGACTAACAATGGACTGGATGGATTGAGAAAACTTGGGCACCGAGTTACTATGATTCATTGGATAAGATGTATTTTTACTTACGTCAGGTCAGTGCTTCTGTATGGTTCAGAGACTTGGCGTGTTATGTAAGGGATTTCCAATAAACTACAGACATTCATCAACAACTGCTTACGCTCGTTACTGAAGCTCAGATGGATTGCCAGAAAGAATAAGCAACAAGGAACTGTGGGAACGAACCAACCAAGAACCTATCGCTCAACAAATATGTAGAAGGAAGTGGAGATGGATTGGGCATGCACTGAGAAGGTCGACTGGGGACATCACACGTCAGGCCAGTTGCTCGAGTGGAATCCCCATGGGAAGCGACGAGTTGGGCGTCTGTGCGAGGGTGACATGGAGGAGATTGTGCGAGGAGGAAATGAGAGCTTGTGGGCTGTCGTGGAACCAGGTTCAAAAGATCTCAGAGAACAGAGTTCACTGGAGACGTGCTAGTGAAGCTTTATGTTCCATTAGGAACCCAAGGGACTAGTAATAATAATAATAATCCCGGTGTAATATATTAGAACAAATAACAAAATAAACAAATATTTTGTATTATACCTCAACGTTTCCATCTTGCTAGGAAGATCCTTTTCAAGAGTATGAATCTGACACTAAGTTTTCAGGTTAATATTCAAGTTTTGGTACACAGAGTGGTGACCTTTACAATCGATCATCCAATTACATAGTGATATGGAGCAAAGATCAATGTAATACAGGTGAGTGAATAAGCAACTCGGTCAGGGAGGCTTTCTTCAGTTGTGCGAGTAAAATGGAACAAAAATAGGGTGGGGAAATTTTTTAGTTCGTCTATGAAAAGTACAATGGGGTTGTGAGATATCAAGGGTGAGAAAGAATAGATTACTAGTTTGGAAGGATGAATATTTGAAGATGAGACAATATATCTTAAATAAATAATAATAATGATAACCATAAATGTACTTTTGATAACACTTGAAGCATAAGTGATAACAAAATGGATTATGTTATGGTTCAGAGAGTAGTGTAAAATCGATGAAAATCGTAGATCAATAAAGTGCTATGTAATAGGAATAGACAAACTGTTAAAACGCAACCAATTTTTCTTCTTTTTTCTTTTCGCATTTTCTCCTTTTTCCTCGTGGTTAAGACGAAAAAGCCTTTCTGACCGAGTTGCTTATTCACTCACCTGTATTACATTGATCTTTGCTCCATATCACTATGTAATTGGATGATCAATCATAAAGGTCACCACTTTCTGTACCAAAACTTGAATATTAACCTGAAAACTTAGTGTCAGATTCATACTCTTGAAAAGGATCTTCCTAGCAAGATGGAAAAGTTGAGGGATAATACAAAATACTTGTTTATTTTGTTATTTGTTCTAATATACTACGCCGAGATTACACAAGCGAAAATACATCTTATACAATGAAGTAATATCATCTGAAAGACTAAAGAGAGATTAGAGTTTCATCCCAGTAAGTGAATCATCAATAATTACATTTCAGGATAGTCTAAGTAACATGACAACCATACTACACAATGAGTGGTAACACAGCTACCATAAGACCTGATGGAGTGCTGGACTCTGTGTCCAGTTTATAACTAAAGGGCTATTCAATTCTATTTTATTTCTAATAGTTCTCTAACATATATAAAGAAAACTGTTAGTGATTATTCTAAATAGCGAACTATATTCCTTACACACACAGTACCTATGGTGACTTAATAGCCAGGGAGATAATGCTTTGGTATTTGGATGGAATGAATACCGACACAACAGCCAAGAATGATCAGCTGATGAGTCCCAACTAGGTCGAAAAGTATATGTTGGATTCCACTGCTCTGTGTAATTTTCATTTCACAGTTCTCAGAAGAAATATTGTCTCTTAAAATCCTCAACATCAACTGATACATGTAAAGAGAGAGTGTTCTTTGTTTGAAGTATCACTGGTACAAGCAAGCCGATGAATAATTCTTGTACACTCTTTGTTTGAATATCGTTTTGACTTTGCCATAGAATACTGACATGTTCCCTACAACATTAAAACATTCCAGTTTAAGTTGTATTCCGCTGAAGTTTCTACGACTACTTGTGAAACACTGACTTGATGTCACTTGCTTGAAGTGGTACTCTGAATGGAGCAAGGACTGAATTCATTGTATCAATAAATCTGCAGATATTATCGGGAAACTCAATATTTCATGCTTATTTACAGCACCCTTCTTCAAAGACTGACATTGAAAGCCGAGAGTAATTGGGTAATTGTTTCATTCCTGGGTGCAACTTCTCAGTGGCACCTATCAACAATTCCAAAGGCGTCAAGCTCATGATTATTTTCTACCTACATGATCGGGTTAATCAGTCTCTAATTGGCACATCTACACACTTTTTTGTATGACTGACGCGCTATCATCCTTGAACAAATGCAACGATTTCCCTCCGGATGTAACTATCCCCTCTAATGATCATACATGCTCCCACAAGATATGCAGGAAAGCAGTGGAACAAACTAACAAACCAATCAATAATTTATAAAAGTTATTATTATACTCTTTTAACTGAAATATCCTATTTACAAAATAGCTGTAATAATAATAGTAATAATAGAGTACTGGGGTTATCATGTGCATATATTTTACTTGAATAGTGGGCTTGTGCGTAAAAAGGCGAAGTTAAAAACAAAAGGAAATAGGTTTGAGCACTTTGTTATGTATATGCAATGAGTAGTGTGTTTTCATGTGCTTGTGTGCGTATATTTGTGCGTAACAAACATTTTCTATAGCTGTGTAGGGTATACGAGGCTAACAGTTCAGAAGTATTAGGCGTCAATAATGTATAGCTGTAAGAACAATAGTGCAAAGATTAGTCTTTGAGTGAAGATAGAATATGTTGTCTACCTAGCGTTTCTGCACGCTTGCATGTCTTTCTGTCGATCCCCCAACCTGTCACTCAATTTCACGGCTAATATATATCTCGATTTGTGTCTCTGTGTGTGTTTGTGTGTCATATGACTAAAAACACAAATAGTAATTGTTATTCACGTTTGAGTGCTATTACTACTAAGTAGTAGTGTTAGTAGTATAATTAATTTGAAAATAATATTACATCTTGCTGTGTTTCTGTCATGTCATTTTAGGATTATATTATCTTTGGTTGAATAGATTCGTGCTAAAATAAAACTAGTTGAAAAAAAGTTCTCGTGAAAAACTAAGACAAAACAAAAAAATAGCATGAAATTAAAAGCTGGAGTTGACAGCTTTTCTGAGTGTTTCCGTATGTGTGTGTGTGTGTACATTACTCTATTTCTCAAGGATCCTCAAGTAATATTTTGAAATCCTTGACGTAGATGTAAACAGTTTTTGTAATAGTTTGCCAAGTGGTAAGTAAAGAGATGTCTATCGATCGATGTTGAAATTCAATTCATGCGAGGGAATAGGGAACAAGGAGATCATTTCAGTGAGGAACTTCAGCATGATGACTTACTGACAACTGATCGAGTAGTCATCATTTCAGAGGTGTCTAAAGCCGCTGAAATCATATGCTTAATAACTGGTTCCAATTTATCCGTGCTCAGTTGAAATATACACTCCATATAATATTTTAACCATGGAAATGACAAATCACTTTTCAAATTTACACACGAATAAGTAGTTTGAAGTAAATGCAACAATTGTCCTTGACGTATTGGGCAACCTTTTAAAATCGTTTGATAATATTTGACAGCATAACTTCGTGCATGTTGAACAGTTTCTATACATATCAAAAGGAAATGAAAAGAAATTCACCGATGAATTTTACAAATCATCATAATTTTTTATCAATTCTTCAATATGATTAGAATTACAACTGATTTATAAATTTATCCGTTAATTTAAAAATAGCTATTGTGACTGTGAAGTTCATAACTTTGAGTCGTATTCGACCAATCAACACTCAAGCTATCAGTAATCCTATTGGTTTACTAACTTACAGTCAAGGTCATCAAGCCGATGCAGCTATTTGTCCTGTGAATAAAACAAGTTATCACTTTCGCCTCACAAAGACTAGTTTAAAAAATCTAATTGCATCCTGTTACGTTGAACAGTAGAGTATGGTACCAATCTGGATGGATATTATGTAATATTTCATTCACTGTAGGATGGTGTGTGTGTTTGTGATTTCCATAGAAACAGTTCTATCAGTGATAAGTGAATGTCATCCGATAGGGTCAGGACATTCTTATTTCAGAAACTTCAGCTCACAAATACTTAGGAGACTATCAAATATAACTTTTAAGGTCAAGCCTTTTCTATGAGAGCTTTGAACTGTGAAGACTGCAATTCGGTTTGGGAGCAGTGGAGACTGGCTGAGTTCGAAATAGCTGCCATCAAGGCTTGACGCATGAAAACATGGAAATACCAGATAGTCTTGTCGTCTCAGTTTGGGATTCTGCGTCAGTTTTCCCCCATAGTCCTATGAGGTTTCGAGACCATAAATGTCAGTTGATGAAACTGACTATGAGGTCAACCAAATCATTTGTAAGGGCATAAACTCGTCATGGATTGTAGTCGTGCTATACAGCAAGTTGACAGAAGTAAGAACTAGCTGAATGGCAACAGGGCCGTTGCGATACCTAACTACCCTCGGTTTGATCCCGCACGAAGTGGTCGGTTAACATTGATGATGATTCTTAATCCAGGACAAAACAGGTCTATAATGGTCGTCTAGCTGACATCAATCTATGGTGAAAACCATCTCGATCCTTGGTGGGATAATGCTTGCACAATGCTGAGGAGTCCCACACTAGGACGAATCAGCTATCCACTTCTCCCAGGTCCCCAATATTCCCTTAACTGATGTCAGTCCTCGATGAATACCAACTTGAAAAATCAATAAATCCCCACAAAATCCTAAATTCAATTGATCTAGTGATCGTTAGTGAATAGCTTCGAGGGGTGATTCCTGAAGGTCCAATGAGAAGTCGTGACCAGTAGAGTAAACATGGTGGCCGTAAGGACAAATACTCAACGATGACATTAGGTGGTGGTCACGCTATGTCGTGAACTGACAGAAGTTGGGAATATGGACCAGTGGACTCTGACCCACTGGCTCAGTGGTAACGTGTTGGCCAAGGAACCCGGAGGTCCTAGGTTCGATCCCTGTGGTGGGGGTGAGCATGTGTGCACACTGCTGAGGACTCCTGTGCTGGAACGAAACAGTTGTCCAGTGATCCCAGGTTTCCATTGTTCCTTCAACTGATGTCAGTCTATGATGAATACCAACTTGAAAAATCATTAAATCTTCATAAACCTCAAAACTATTTGAACAACCAATCGAATGTAAAAAATTATTGAAGAAAGTGTTAGTTAGTTGATCAACTTACCAAGATGTATATCTGAGTTAACATCGTATATTGGTGAACTAAAGAGAATCATCATTTTTAACCAATCAATTTCTTCTTCTTTCAATTTCAAAATAACTAATTCAGAAAACAATTGAATCATTGTACTGGATTCGGACAGTGTAGTTAATAAATCTAAAGAAAGAAAAAAATGAAATTCGGAAGTTACTGGCAAATCAGTTGACAATATATAGATAAACAAGTTAGGTTGGATAATTATGGAGACTGAGTGGTTTCAAGATGGTATTCATCACGGACAGACATCAGTTAGAGAACCATTGAAAATCTTGGAGCATTGGACAGCTGTTTCCTTCTCGTAAGAGACTCCTCAGCAGTACACACCTGTGACACAGCTACGGACCGAAATCAGGACCTTTAAGTTTCACGGTGTACTCGTTAACCATCCAGGCAATGGATTGGAGTTCAATGGTTCACACTTTCCAACTTTTGTCAGCTAGCGATATGATGTGACTGTCATCTAAGGACTTCAGTTGACATCCACTTCACTTTCAACTGGCTTACTCCAATTATCCCAGCTTCCTATTAGAACTTCAGGATATTCATCTGGAAACATGTCACTAGTGAGCATTATACAGTAATCCATTTTGAGAACGCGGATTTTAATTTTGAGGTAGTATTCATCAGCTAAAGAATCCTTGAAAATTTCAGAGCACTTAACAACCGTTTCGTCCTAGCACAAGGCACTTTAGTAGTAGCCACCCATACCCCCTTTAGGTTTGGAACTGAGGACTTTTGGTTCACACAAAGAGCACTTTCCTATTCAGTCACTGGGTTGAAGTTTAGTGGTCAACTTTGTCCTACTTTTGTCAGCTGGCGATCCAATGAGGCCATCACCACCAACTGGCAGTAATACAAAAATACGAATCACTGGACTGCAAGCCAGTGGCTGAATAATAAGGTGTTCATTACAAGTCTTCATGGTACTGAGCTGCATCCCCTAAAAGATAATGGGTACACACTGCTGAAGAGTCCCAAACTACGTTGAAACAGCTGTTTAGTAGTCTCAAGTTTTTGAATGGTTCGCCAGCTGTGCCAGTTCATGAAATGAGTCGATCCTCACAAACCTCAAAACTACTTATATATATTGCTAACTTATTTAAGCACTTAGATGGTCTTGTCTAGCTTGATCCTGAAACGGTCACCGACTAAGTAAATGAAAGGTGACCGTGTAACCGTCCTTCAAAATATCGAAATTTACAGTACCGTTTGAGGTGAATCGACATGATAATAACTGTGTACTCAGAGAAATTGATAAGATTTCCGCTTATCCAATGAAAATTCCACAGTTTCCATCTATGACTTAAATTTCTAAGCAGTATGACACTTATAGAGTGATAGATGATGGATACCAGTCACACTAGGGATATTAACAGGGATACAGATACACTCAGCTTATTAGTCACATGTCGGAGTAAGCGGATATCCTGATCTCTAGCAGTAGCCGCCACTAAACAGATCAACAGAAGCATTACTGATAAGCGTATACAAGAAAACGATATACCGAAACCAACCGATCATTTAAACCCGTAAACAGGAAGAAACTATGAATAACAAAGTAAAAACTTTTGGTATGTAAAGAAAAGGATATCATATAAACCTACATACATATAATGGCCACAATACCGACTACGCTACTCAAAGGGGTGGGAGAATCTTTAGTTACTTATGAGTAACACATTGGTTACTAGTGAATACCAATTATGCAACTGAAGTCTTCCTACCGCCAGTTACATCACCTGGTGAAATTCGCTGAAGACAGTCAAAACAACATCAGTTTGGTGAACTTAACAGTTTATTTATAAAGCGTTCGAAGCAACAAGTGCTGCATTTGTGTTTCACTGGGATACACATAAATGCAACTGATGATTCCCAACCAGGAAAAAATATGGATTAGGATTATTCATCACCAATCAAATGACAGTCAAAATTGGTAGACATATGTATCAGAACCTGGTTATCCTTATTTATAAATATGATTGATTACAATGAAAAAGACTATACCTTTATCTGAAAATAAAGTCTAAGTTTTCTAGTTTCGTACTTTAGAAGTTTCATCAGCAAGTTATTCACTTGTTAGCCAATATCAAGCAGTAGATATAATGACAAATATTCAGTATAACCGAATCCCCTTCTCCATGATTTCACTCAATCATCCATACACATACAAGCAGATGGAAGATATATAGGTCAGATAACTAGTGTTGACCGCCATCTTTTAAAAAGGACATACTTTAAGGTAACTATTAAAGTTGAAACACTGTCTTAACTCTTCTTTTATCTGGCATGATATAAGACTAACCTATTAGCACAATGCCTTACCTATTCAATTGTGAAACTCAACTTTAAGTACTATATTTTATCATGGTAACAACTATATACAGTTTAGGCTAATGAACAGTGGAATCTACTGTCTTAAAATCCTTCAAAAATAGTAAACAGTTTTATCCTTAACAAAAATTATGTTTAACAAAGTTCAAATACAAGTTATAGTCACCTGAAATGTACGTCTAGTTATTCATTTTTATGCTTTCTCAATCCATTTGAAAATGAGCAGCTGGAGTGTAGATATAACAACAAGTCGATAAATCCTGTCCAATCAACTACGGTAAAACTACAAGTTATAACATCAAAAGTAAACCCATCACACAGTGAATGGCTGTCATAACCTAATAGCCTAAAGGATGACATTTTGATGTGATTTCATTGCCATTGAGAAAAGCATGACTCAGTGAGATGAAGGCTCATCCAGCTGACGAGTCCAAATAGGACGAAACAGGCCTCTTAGATTCCAGTAATAGCCGTTACCTATCACTACTTTACAACAAACCTCTTATGAAAATTACATGCAATATTAAAGTATCCTATCAGTACAATCTTTGTTCCCTTTCTACTTAAGACAGAAAACCTTCGTCTGTTTGGTCCCCTCTTTATGGGAAATTTCACTGGCATGAATTTATGAGTTCCACTGTGTTGTCCTGAGTAAGCTATTACTGAATGTACACAACACTTACTAAGTTTCTGTAGTAAGAGAGGAAGCTCCGTGGAAATCCTCATCCCACAAAGTATTAGACTGTACTCTCTCCCCTTATTGATGCAATGGTAGTAACATGGAAATTGTCAAAGAATAATTTCAGTGATTTGCATAGTACAATAATAACATCAAAATTGGATAAAATCAATGTCTTTCTCCATGCCTACCGTCACTCCTCATCCTACTACAACTTTCTCATAAACATTCAACTTACCTGAATCTTGTTTTCTTCCTGTAGAATTCAATGAATTGGTCAGTGGTTTACACACAAATTCTATCCATAAATATTGCATTTTCTTTAAAACTACTGAACAATATTCTGTTTCATCAATAGGAGTGCAACTGCCATTACTATTATCAGTACTTATGTTCTTGTTAATAGTAATAGTATTAGTAGTATTGTCCAATGACATTTTATGAAATTCTGTGAATAGTGTTAAACTGAACAATAAATCCCATTGTGTACAAATTAAATTAATCATATCTGATTTATTGATGTGAAAAGCGAAATTCTCTGTAAGTTTATTATCTGGTCTAGAATGACACAACCATTGAATAATTTGAAACATTAACTGACTTAGATAAAATTGTACCATATCTATGGGTAATGGTGTTGACAATGAGCAAGATGATAATGCTGATGATGATGATGATGAAGAGAATGATGATGAACAGGAAGAGGAGGAGGAGGAAGAGGAATTGCCTGATGAAGTAAATGATGACTGTAATAAACTACCAGCTGTATTATGTTCATTTACTGTATCATATGGTCGAGTCAAGCGTGAATTCAATGGTTGAACATCTGTACCTAGTGTAGTTTTAACAGACTGATTTATCGGTAAGGAAATACCACTTGATAGGTGTATCTGATTCTTTATCGCTTCAGAATACGATGGAGGAGATGGTTGATGTTGATTTTCTGTTGAAAAAAATAAACAATGAAGATATTTTAAATATATGAAATTAAAAATTGAACAGATATTGAAACATTTAACGTAGTTTGTATTAAATTTTTTCACTAAAAAATCATTTCCATGGCATGTTGTTTTTTATTATAGATTAATAACGTATTCTTCTGAATTACTTAACTATGTTTATGACCGCAACTGTACTCAGGGATAAGGAATTTAACGACTTTCAAACTGAATTCAGTCGTAACTCATTGTCCTAGTGGATGACGTCTTGGCTTTCGAAGCAGTCGACCAGAGTCCGAGTCCTGGTGAGAGCAACACTCCTTGAGAGGCAGGTACATCTAGCTGACGAGTCCCAAATGGAACGAAACCCGGACCCTGGATTCTACTGTCGGCCATTATCTATCATTAATATTAAAATTGAAAATACAGGCAGTATCAAGGCATCCTCTCACGAGCCTATATGCCAACAGAAACCGATTAATTTGGTCCGATTAACGACGAGATAACACAAGTAACAACATATAAACACAAGAGAATTTAAATATTCACATTCAGCCATAAAAGAAACTTATTTTTGGTGATATCATCCTCTGTAGCTGTGCTTTTGTACTTAAATGTACTTAGTAGGTATAAGAAGATATCAGTATTTGTTAATCAATAAGAACCTGAAGGTCTCGGGCTCGATCCCTGGTGGGGTCGTTGGTGCGCACTGCTGAGGAGTCCCACGCTAGGACAAAACAGCTGTCCAGTGCTCCCAAGTTTCCACTGTTCCTCCAATTAATGTCAGTCTACGATGAATACCAACTTGCAATAATTATCAATTTAACTATCTGAGATAACCGTAGTACTGCTGACATGTGTTGATACTGGGTGATGATTGAGAGCAAGATGAAAATCTGAGTCATGGTGGGGTCTTGCAGCTTATTTGGTAGAGCACTGGACGAGCAATCCATAGTTTGCTGGTTCGAGTCCCTCCATGGCATATATTTTTATTTCACCTTCAATCATCACCCAGTATTTATCAATAATTATCAATATTAACAGCATTTTATGCACACTAACACTAAATTCAAATGTGACTACACAGCTGACGAGGTTGACATCGCCGAAAACAAACTTGTCCCCACTGAAGCAGTTTTTAATTTTTATTACACAATACCATCCCTAGAAAGGATGTATTGCAGTGCAGAAGTCTATTACATTCTTGAATATATAGTTGCGTTTTTGTATTGTTTTAATAGTGAGTCATTAATGATCTGTTTAACAAGCCATTGAAATACCTCTGAGTATCTTGGTTTTCTTGTGTTCTCTGAGCTGGATTGTTTAGTCGTGGAGCTTTCATCGCCTTGCTAAATGACACCATCAACACTAATAATAATGATAATGTAAGGGATAGGCATCTTCTGACAAAGTTTTGCACATAGCCGTTCTTCTTTAGGGTGGACACCAAGTAATTTTCTTCGTTTCTCCGTAAAGCTGTTGTACTGCAGTGTATTCTAGCTCTTCTGAATAGAGTCTGCAAGCAACTAACTTTGTGCGTTGTTAGGCTAATGCTACTGCAGACGAAAGGATGCAACAACCAAAGAAGATAAACCGAATATCATATACAAAATCAACTGCAATACCTATAGCCAGCACCACATTGGACAAAGTGGTCGCCCTTTTCACCTTCGTCTACACGATCACCGATTGGCTATTAAACGTCACACACGACATTTCATCACTCATCTCAATCCACGTGGATAATTATGGACGTGAATTCAATTTTGACAATGTAGACACTTTGGACAGAGGAAACACAAGGAATATCAGAGAGTTCATAGAAGCTTGGCTTCAGGTCAGTCAGCAATCGAGAGATGTATAGACATAGACCCAGTCTATCAACCAATGAGAAAAATGATAAGCAAAGGAGAGGTCAGAGGTCAAGCAGAGGAATAGCCAACAGGTAAATCTGTACAGTCAATGACACAGCAGTCAAAGGGACCAACCAATCACAAGTCAGTTCGTCAGGGCAAGCTACTGAACTACTTATGGAGAGATAATGGCAGCTCACTTTGTACTGAAGTTAGTGTTGATGGTGTTATTTAGCAAGGCGATGAAAGCTCCACGACTAAACAACCCAGCTCAGAGAACATGCGACAACCAAGACCATCCACCCGAACTACAAATATTCTCCACCACCTCTGAGTATAATCGATTGCATAATCTTTTGAATGGTATGAATAGATAAGTAGTCATGTGAAATCACTTACTCTTATGTGATTCACTTTGAGTAGGTAATTCTTTAAAACTATTAGTGATTAACAATAGACCAAAAGAAAGGTGAACTTTTCTCTTAGCGACAAATGATTACTGCATATTTGTACTCATATATCAAGTATTGGGTTGTAATCAATAGATTGGAAATTTGTTCTTTGTAATCCTTCTAGAATTCGAAATTTATGATAGTCAGCAGTTCTTCTATGTGATGCTGGCGGCAATTTCTCTCGATGAATATGTTGTTGAATATAAGTATAACTTAGACTGGAAGGATGTTTCGTTTATCACACCATCCTGGCAACTAACTTCTATCTGGTGAAGCTCATTCACAGAACATGAAACAATTTTAAAGTAGCTGGTAGAACTACTCCTTAATCATGAGCCTCAACAACAGTTATCCCTTACAGATCACACACATCGAATGAAATTAGGAGAGTGCTCAACAAATCGAATATCAGAGTGTTCCATAGAACATCACACGGAGCGGTTTAGTTCATTTGAAGGACAAGATCCCTTTAGATTCACAACCTAATTGTGTTTTTCACAAATAAAATGCTCAGACTGCGATGCGATATACATAGGACAAACTTCTTGTAAAATCAAATTTTTAAAAAATGTACACCGAAGAGCTCCCACCCAACCTCCTAAAGGTTTAGTGGAACTGAGAAAGCTTGAAAACATTTCAGCCATACAAGCTACAATTCCAGGTTACAAGGTCGATTTTAACAGTATCGAATTTATTCAGAAAAGCTTTAGAAATCAGAGGAAATGTCTCACTCATAGAAGAATCTCTTCATACAAAATGGAATTAAATTTTTTAAATAGAAATGAGGAAATGAAACGTAGCTTGACCTGGTCTTAACCTACCCCCAACATGTATGCGATATTGACTATCAGCACGCATATGTGAGCATACATATCTTAGTCTGTAATGCACCCACTTTTCACACCTAATAATACACTACATATGGAATCCAAGACGCCTGTTTCACCCTACTTTGGACTCGTCGGCTGGATTTTCCTGCACTCCAGTGAATGATATTGTACCCACTGAGACTTGAACCTAGTACTCATCTCCTCAAACGTCAAAGCGTTATCCACTAGGCCACTGCGACACTCTAGTCATCATATTTATCCAGCAGTTTGACAACACAGAGTTATCCAAGCGGAAGTACTCAGATGAAGTTATCCTATATCAGCTTAGACATTGTAAATTTTAGTTCACTATAATTCTGATAAACCGATTAACATTAAATGGTGGTATATCAGTTAGGATAAACTTGTTTTGTTATACATCCACTTGGAAATACACATTAAAATAATGAAGATCATTTACCCCATGCCCAGATTTTTTTTCAAACCAACATATCTCAACTTTTCTATCTCATGTCAATCCTTGATGAAAACTGTTTATAAATCAGTCAGTTTTTCACAAGTCTCCTAATGAAATACTCGAATATCCAATCTTGTAGTAGTAATGCACTCAGCTATTGGCGACATTATGTATAATTGTTACAGTCACGCTAACAATTCTGACATGAACAAGTGATAATTAGAGCTGGAAACTAGATCGTCACTATGGTAGGATTTGAACTAGAAGCCTGTAACTTATTAATCTATCGCTATACAGACTGAAGTTTTAGACTCAACAATGAATCAGATACGAATTTCACTTCATTCACCTTGTCAATATTTGTATAGTAGTAAAGTCAGTAGAGATAGCGACAGACCTATAGTTCTGTTATGAGCAGAAACCGTTATGTCAACAAAACTGCTTTCAGAAGGTAAATTACTATTAAGGGATAGGCTAAATACTATGCAGTCATATCCCTCCGAAGAAGATCATCAAGAATCAAAGCATATACAACAATACTTTTAAAAATCTTAATTTACGGCTTCTTACTTGGGCAAACTTTGGGCCTACACGGAGTCGAAAAAGGAGGGTTTTTTTCTTCACAGAAAACAAACTACTAGTTTGACATTCCCACCCTAGCAACCGTTGAAATAATCAATTGGGTTATTTGATTTCGACTAGAAAAGTAGTTTTTCATAAAATACAGAACTCTGACTATTTCAGTAGTTGTTAGGGTGGGTCTTAGATTCACTTTATTCCTAAACTTAAATTCATTTATGTCATGTTGTAACTATCATCCAATGTTATATCAGGGGTGTTCTTTTAAGTGACCCCTGACTGTTACAGCTTCATCATTAGCACATAAGGAAGTTTACTTGAAGGCAATTTACTGTTCTGTATTGACTACTTTGTAGATGGCGGATTAACTTTGTAACGTATTTCTGAATAAATTGGCATCATCTAATGAATGTCGAACTACAAAGTGGTATCAGCAAACACTTGTCAGTGAGAGTGAAATTCTTCAATATCCTAACTTTGTCAACTTCTTGAGATAGGCAGTTGGATAGCTTTCCGACAAAATATCTCCCCTAATGCATGCGTTGTAGCCCTGGAGATCGTATTGGATAATGGAAAACGGCAAATATTGGGTTCGAAGATATTATCATTCAATTATTTTCTCAGCATGACTGCTGAAGTTCTCCAACTTCACAAACGAGAATGCATCCAATATTTGCAAAAATTATCTTACGAGGTGAAGGTTATACTTTTTTGTTGTGTAACGCTGTCTTCACCCATACTACAGGTTTCACAACTCCTTCACTTTTCTTATCCGAATATAGAATTTTACAATCTGGACCATCATAAACCCCATCAAATCCTTAACATGACTCATTCTAAGCTGAGTAATTGTTGACATAAAAAGTAAACTACTTATAAGTAACTAAAACATATGACCAAAATACTTCAATAACAAACCTTTCTGACGAATTGGGCCACATTGCTTTCGAATTAATTCTGTTTCATTTGCAAACCATGAGTTTGAAAAATTCTTAAGGTTATCTTTAATTGTTGTTTCTGTTGTATGGGGCAAACTTAACCAAGGTGGGTAATGGCAAAGTGTTCCAGGAAACAGTGATGATGACGGTGTTGATGAAGGTAGATCATTTGATATTGATGGTAGGACGAAAGGAAGTAATGAGTTAGGGATTTCAGTTCCTGGGTGAAAACTGCATTCTTGACTTGGGCAAATATTACCATTAGTGTTATTATTGTTATTACTATTGCCACTACTGATAATACTGTCATTACTGGTATTTATGTAAGCCGACTGCAGCAAAGTTGCAGGTACATTGTTCATTGTTGGTGGCATCCATGGCCATAGGGAATACTTTACACTTTCCGAATATATGGACTTCAATACTGAGTCAAAGTACAACAATGAATTTGCATAATCAATTGAATGAAAATCTGCAGGATTCTCTGGATTTCCAGTGTTATTATTATTATTATTATTATTATTATTATTATTATTATTATTATTATTATTATTATTATTATTATTATCAACACCATTGTTACTACATGTGAATAAATCGGGTAGGCATAACTTAGCGAATGCAAGTGCTTTACTCCAGGCACTTTTAATATCCATACTATTTATATCACAAGTGATATCAGAAGATGATAACTTTATTCGCTGGACTGATGATGGTACATCGTTCTCACATCTATCAGGCTCAGAAACATTTCCCAACATAGGTCCTATTAAATCTGTTGGACATACTTGAAATTCCTCCAACATCCTTTGTTTCAGCAGGATTTCTTGTCGATTCAACTTTTGACGGTCTTTTGACTGATTCATATCATCAATTCTGGGCAGTTTTCCAGCATGGCAGTCACTAGCATCAATCATAATACTACTGAAATTTGTATTAGTAGTAGATGCACAGTCAGTGCTAGTAGTGGTAGTAGTAGCAGTAGTATTAATTGTACCAGAACTTAAATTTTTGAAAAACAAGGGATCACTCATTAGTACATCGTTACTTGAAGGTGTTTTCTTGATTAAATTTGATATCTGACTTGATGGGATTGTAGATTCATTGTTTATTGAAGAACAATTACTGCTTGACAAGGACACATCAAACGGATTCGAAAAATTGAACATTGAAGGCAGATAATTTAAATAGTTAAAGGCATTGTTTATATGTGTTGTACATGTAGGATAGGTGGTTAAGGAAGATAAAGAAGTAGAATTAGTTGTTGTTGTTGTTGTAGTTGATGTTACCGTATTTTCAACGGTAGTAAAGCCGTTCGTAATGGAAGGCGATGACTGTAAAGTTGAATTTAAATACATATACGGCAGTTTTGCTAAATTCAAAAGATCATTCATTGGATTCATTGTGGTTGGTAATGGATTCAGAGAGTCAGCCTTATTAATTTGACCATTCCTATCATCAATAGTATTACCATTTTTGTTTAAATTCATCGTAGTACAAAGATTTATGCCTAACAAAGGGTTCATATTTATCGATTGTGTTGTAATTGATGATGCATTCAATGTTGAAGACTGAAGTAATGGTGACAACTGTGACAGTTGATGTTGATGAGGATGATGATGATGATATTGATGATGTAGTTGACGATGTGTTTGTGACTTTTGAGTATTCTGATGATCATTCAGATATAAGGCAACTTGTCGACGTAATGTAGAATTACGTGGGCCTCTTTCATGTTGAACAGCTGAAATATAATCAATAAAAAAGGAATAGCATAAAAGTTTAGTCTCTTATCAGCAATCAGTCAGTGAAAAAGTACACTACTTAGGCCAGTTCCATTTGAACAAACTTAACATTATCTGAGGAAGAAAGTTCCAGACAAATGATACACTGATTCGTATTCAGGGTCTTCTCCAAACACCTGCTTATGGTGTAAGTACTTTGACATTTTAGTATGAATGAGATATATAAGTTCAGTCGATTTATCCCTTCCATTTTTATAAATCTATGCAGTTTGAGGAGAAAATAACACAAATGGATGTAAAAATAGTACGAGAAACTTCTTTCAGAAACGAAAACTAATGTTACAGTGAGTGTTATTCATTTTATTGTATCTGTGACAAAGTAGGTCAGAAGTCATGCTCATACAATTTAAGGAAACTAGCTGCTAACCAATGGTGTATGAATTTAGCCTGTTGATCAGTTACTCCTACTCACAATTTTGAGAGTAATCCACCTACGCCTTTTTAGGTTATTGCAGTTTCCATAGCGTGACTCTAAACACCACTATAGTAACTATCGTGATAACCAATCAGATTCTTTTATTTTATGAAAAATTACCTTTTAGCCGAAATAAAGTAAATTTATTGATTAATTCACCTTTAGAGCTACTTGCATTAGTTGACTTGGTGTCTTAAGCAATAAACTTTAACCAGTGATGAGCACTACAGACTAGACAGCCACATCAGTCGCTCACACGTGATAATTCGTGTGCATAATCCAGGAGGTCAGTCGTCGTCGTTAAATTCTTATTTCAGCAACAATTGACATGGGTTCCATTCATCAGTGGGACACCTTACTCATGAGTGCCAAGAAACATGAAACTTAGGTTCAAGACTTTCTACTGACTAACTCCTTACATCTAACAACAACCTACATTACAAATCAGCGTCGAGTCGCTTAGCTTATCGGACTGAAGGATACGCAACAGTCAGCTACACGGTTACTTGTTAGTGACCGATTCGTGTAGACGATCGATTTATCCTGTATCAGCAAGGTTTTTTGTCCGATCGTCGTGTGAACTCGTGGGGCGTTACTACCGCTTGATCGTACTCACACTAGCTGCCCAGTCAGGACTTCTCATTCCAATCGAAATCTACTTGAATTAGAGAGGAGAGCATCATATTATTTATCAGTTTGTCTGAGATAGCTGTGGTTTGGTAGACTTGTTTTAATGATACTAGATGATGATTGAAGGGGCAATGAAAATTTTGACCACGGTAGGGTTTGAACGAGCGACCATAACAAATGTCATGGATTCAGTTGACCTGTGTTCAGCCTTAAACTGAAGTTGTTTTTACCCATTACAATGGACTAAAGAAAGTGTTAGGATAGAAAACAACCGGAATCGTTCCATTCAAAATCTACTCTTGTTCAAGATATGAATCCGAGTCATTCAGTGCTAGAGTCAAAGGTTTCAAAGATGAACTATTCGAGAGATTACAGTTGACTATTTTACTAACAGGAGAGGCTCATGGAAACGCATAGACCATCTAGCAGTCCTAAGTGATGCTGGATGTCTATCGATTGGTTTTGTTGATTGTTTATCCATTGGGTTACGACAGTATAGTATTCGATCCATTCACTGACTGGGAAAGGTTAAACACACACACACACATGCATACACAAATGTGGTCAAATGTTGCCAAGTAGGACGATTTCATATGAGAAATAAAGAAAATCTAATTTATTTTATTAATTCCACAAGATATTTGAAACATTATGCAATCTAATAGGTTGCGCAATTCATATTTTCACCCCAACAACAAGAGGTTTCCTACCCACCTATCTAAGTGACAAACAGAAACACAATGGGTTACACACGACATATTCTCAAAGGTTAACAACACATGTGGTCATATTAAGGTCAGTAGTAATAACGTAATACTTACTGTCAAGTCTATTTTTCCTTTCTTTTACCTTTTGGGCTAGGTGAAGGTTAAATTATTTGACAGATGGGGGGTTTGTAAAAAAAATCACTTGGACAAGGTTAATAACTTTTTCATTGTTACCAATACTTATTTATATTGAAGGTATTCGCCTTTTTAGTCATTACTATTTTTATGATTATTACTACAACTCTATAGGTGATCTTTTCATATCACGTGTTCAAAGGAATAAATGAATAAAAACGCATTATTCCCCCATTTTCCATACTGAAAGAAGGAGAGAGAGAGAGACAGGAGGGGAAGGAAACTGAGACATACACTTCACTTGACCACATGTGACATAATTTAATCACAAATGGATGATAAATGAGAGAGAGAGAGAGACTTATTACATCTGTTGTTATTGTTGCTGCTACCACTGCTACTGCTGTTTTTCAGCTTGACTACTAAAATAGAGATGTTGAGGACTGTCGCAACTGGATATTGTGTAACCAAAAAGTGAAAGCATTCCACACGCAAAGATACTCCCCTTATCTTTCACTAAAATACACATACATACAAATGTCCAGTCACTCAAAGTCTTCTGATGACTTTCACTTCAAAATTTGAAAATCTTACTTATTAGGTCACTTAAACGACAAGTATCCACTAGAATAAGACATAAAGGGTTAGTTTAGTAAAAGTAATAGTCATAATAATGACAACGATGGTAAAGGATTTTGTAGCCAGGGTTACTCTTTTTTCAATAATTATGTGCTCCAAAAGGCAAAAGTGGCCAACATTCTAGCGAGATTGAAAACATTTTCCACTCTTGAAAACGGTATTGCTTCAGTAGTGGTGTGAGTAGTAATATGAGTAGTAGTAGAAGTAGTAGTTGAGTAGTAGTATAGTTTCTCTTTGTATTTTGAAGTACTTTTCCGTACGCTATTTAGTCATCTTTCCCAGTGTGCCTAGGTACAAGGGGACTCCATGTTTGCAGTTTTGATAAGAATTATCAAAATAAATCCACAATGACCATCATTTATCTTTTAGGAAGCATTTGTGGATAATTATCTCCAAATCCAATTCATGCCGACCATTGTTGTTTATTTAAATATATTTCTTATCACTGATTACAATATATCGCCGAAATATGTAGAATAAGTCTCTTACAGTATCATTCAGTGACGCAGGTTGGAATCTCATGGTTGCATATATACATCGCTGACGAGTGCCACTAAGTACAAGACCCAGGCATAACAGGGATTCTTCCCGAATGACTCCCACCAGTTAACACTAAAGACAAATATTCAACATTTCACCTCTCACTGAATAAAGTATGAACTAAATTTTTTCAAATGAATATTGAACACGTGTTTGTTCCTTGTTTAAATTTTCACGCCAACTACAATCTCCATGGCGATTCATAGCAAAGTTAACCAAATTATCAATAATTCGAAATAATGAAACAAATTTGAGAGTGGATTGATAAAAGATCAATTCTGTTCCATATGTATAGGAGAGTAAAGTTATCAACACATTTTCGTAATATTTGAAAATGAAGAATAACACCGTAGTAACAACAAAATTTTATAAAATAAAATTCCAAATTAAATCCACTCCATTTAGCTCCAATGGTAAATAAAGAAATTATTTCCTTTACTTTTCTTAAATTTAGAAATGGTGTACAAAGAGAGGATTAACTGAAAACGACCTACAAGAAACAATGTCTATATTCCAAAGTAGATTTCATCAGTGTTAGTTGGTTGGAGGCAATCAGTAGAAAGTCCTGTTTGATCTGGGTTCGTGCTTGTTAGCACTCATCAGCAAGGTTGTTCTGCAACCTCAAGGGGATTAATGCTCCTCCCCCCTGAGATTCGATTTCAGTTAGCCAACAGCCTGTTATATTGTGCAGTAAGATTGCCCAAATTTTCAAACACAGCACAAAGTCCCTGGAACCTTTTACAACCAAACTTTTTTCTTCGAAGTTTCTGGAAAAAGCCCGTGAACCAACGTATCAGTACCAGATTGGTTGGAAAAGCGAAAATCAATAGGATATTCTAATCTACGATGGTCTAAAAATAGTCAAGGCCATTGTAAATATACATAAACCCGCGTATCTTGCGTGATTTAACGTTGCAATACACCTTCACCTTTTCCATTTACGGAGAAACTAAGTAACCACGAAGAGTACAATCTAAAGGTTATTGTTCAAGCATCCCCACTGGACAACTACTGGATCCCTCTTTGGAATTTTTCAACGTAGCACAATTAGAAAAGGCAATATTACCACTCAATTAGTAGAACGAAATCTAGCGGGTTAATGTGCTATAAATTTAACAAATTTGTGACTGAATACGGTCTCCTAATACCCAATTTGGTTGATTCCATAAGTCAATAGAACTTCGAAAAATCTGTGGTCGAAACAAGTCATTAAAGAGCATTGATTTATTATTTACTCAAGCAATTCATGTACGACTGAAGTTAGCCAGAGAAACATTAGAAACCAAGCAACGCTAATTCATTATTCTCTCCTACTTCTCGGTGGTGCTCACTGATGACGTCACTTAGGATTAGAGCAAAATATGATGGAAAGATTCCATATTAGATTTGTTTATTTGATATGTAACGCACAGTGATACAGTATTATTTACTTGATTACGTTTCGAGCATTAATTATTGCTCATAACCATATCAATGTAATCACACTTCTTTCGATATCTGATTTTATAGTCCTGTCACCTGAGTTTTCTTTGTTTTTTTATTGGTAGTAAAGTTTTCCATATCTCTGGTATAGGTGTTGCGTCATTCCCATTACATGTGATGGGTGTGGATTCTATGAACAAAGATTCGGTAATTAATCTCTCTCTCCACCTAGCTATATTAGACTTAAGTACACAATGTATTAGCGCTATACATTTCGAACAATCTGATCACACATGGACTTGTCGAACTATTTATATGAAAATTTACGAAAAGGTCAATGAAGTTAATGGGAAACATAGGAATAGGAAGGGATAGAAAAAAAGGAAAACCTTATTCTTGGTATGAAAATTAAAATCAGTACTACCATACTATATGTGAAAAGCCTGATGAT